GCACTCCTGCAGCCCCTGACACACAGAGACACAGGGTCACCACACTGCACTCCTGCAGCCCCTGACACACAGAGACACAGGGTCACCACACTGCAGTTAAACAGCGCTATTGGAATCAACAGCATTGTTGCACTGCTCGCTCTATATTTAAAATAAAACAGCAGCTGGCCTGGCCGAGGGCATGTCAGGGTGAAGAGCTATCGGGCTGGGCAGGGAGGGTGCTCACAGTCTGCAGCTCCACCACTTTGTTCTGCAGGGACAGTGCGTTCCTCCTCTCTCTCTCCCGCTCCTCCGTCGCGCTCTCCACAGCCCTCCGGGCCTCGTCCTCCAGCATCCCACGCTGCCTCTGCAGCTCCTCCGCCTTCTGCGCCTCCCACTCCTCCCGCTGCTGGGCCACGGCTCCCACCACCTGGCACAACAGAGCCGTGCGTCAGAGTTACAGCTGGGCCGCCCCTGAACACGCTGCACAGCTCTGCTCTCCAGCTCAGAGGAGAACAAACTAGGGGGGTTGAAGGAATGTCCCACACTGGCAGGGTGGAGGGACTGAACCTCTTCAGTCCTGAATGGACAGGATCGCGAGGGGACCTGACAACAGGATTCAAAATGTTCAAAGTCAACCAAGTGGACGTCTTCAGAATGAAATGTGAAACAGGGCACAGGTGGAAAGGTGGTGGAAGGTCATTAAGACTGAAATGATTGGCTAATTAATATCTGAGGTGAGATTTGTGAGGGTGTGTGTGTGCCTGGGGGTGTTTTTGTCACGATTGCTGGTTTCTTCTTTACTCCCGCACACCTGTCATGTGTGCAGACACTGCTACTCACTGACTGTCTCAATAAAACAGTCTGCTCATACTGCCTTGTACTAACTCAGCAACTATGTTCATTTACACACAGGAATTTCACCTAGTTTACGTAAAACCTTACTTCCAGCTTTTCCAGTTTTCGGGGGAGGGGGGTTATTGAGACAAATGAAAAATGTAACAATATTTATTAGGAACTGCATTTACAGTATCTAGAGCTTTTTATCCCAAAGCTCAAAGGGATACACGAATCACATGCACACGGGTGGGGTGGAGGAGTGAGAAACCGCTTGTCCAGTTGAATTAAGGGGGAACATTAGATTGTCCTGGCTGCATTAGACCGGAGTGGAATTTAACACCCCTAGTCTTACTAACAGTGCCATAGGGTCTTTAAAGACAGGAAGACCAGGCACGACATCACTTTAATGTCTCAACCCCAGGACAGCACCTCCTACAGCAGAGGCACTGCTCCAGAGGGAATGGGTCCTTTTTTAACACCACCTACAGCAGCACCTTTAGAGGCTAATGCACAGATTACCATCACTTTGGCCTCCTCCTTCAGTTCCTCCGATAGCTGCTTCATGGACTCCTCTTGCAGCTGAAGAGCGTCCTTCAGCTTCATGACCTCATCTTGTTTCAGCTGGAAAAGAAGACAGTTGTTCTTTTGCTAATGCTGTGCCAGCTTGCCCCCAGAACACAACCACCCATTGTAGCATAAGGGATGTGAAATGGGGTCAAAGATAAGCAATTCAACGCAGGCTTTTCCAAAAGTTAAGGCAATACATACCGCAGCTGCTAAGGAATGGAGCTTCTCTACATTGACCCCTGTTTTGCGACACATGCATTTCAATGACTCACAATCCTCCTGATACTCCCACCCATCAGTACATACTGGTAATATGGTGGCTGGTCAATCTGACCCTGAAACACCGCTGACAATAAATCTCGATTAGCTGGCGTCAGCTGGTCCTCCAGAGTGTTGCCCTGTGGATTGTGACTCCAGGTTCAACAGGACTGGTCCCCGGCCCTCATGGGACAGGCCAGGCAGGCAACTGACACAATCCAGTAGATGCAGCCTGATTATTCCCTGCTTTTATCGATGAACTGAGGAGATATTACACTTGGTGCATGAGGGTCTATGGAAGTGCCAAACATCCCATCAAGCTAAGCCGTCACTATTTTTAACTTGTTCGGATGTTATACGAGGCATCTTAATGTCCACTTCTGGGTGGTGGGGAGGATCGGTGGCCTCGGTTGAGTGCTCGGTTTGTTTTTTTCTTGAAAGTCTGTAGGTAGACTGTTAACGAGCCTGCCTGCTCACTCCAGCTCCACCAGCACAGAGGGAGTAAGGATAACGCACGCTCCCCTCTGCATCAGCCTCTGCTGAGCCCTCTGCTATCTGTGCACACTGCTGTTGTAAAGGCACTTCTTTAACATTAAGGCCGTTCCAATGAATTGGGGTCATTAACCAACTAAGGAATTTCTCGGAGCTTATTTTCTCACAAAATCAATCACTCAAATATTTTAATAGGATAACAACCCTGTGTAACAAATGCATCATCTCTTAGTCAGGAGGTCTGAGATCTATCAGATCTATCAAAATACATAAGAGTTGACTATATTTTCATGTGACGCTAGATTCTGTGGATACAAGCGCCCGGTTCAGCGCGGAGCTGACCTGAAGCCTGTGCTGCAGCTGCTCTGTGTCCTGGGTGAAGCACAGAGCCTGTGTGTTCAGGGCTGCCAGCCTGTCCTCCTCTGCCTGCTGCAAAACCTGCATGATGAGAGCCCATGAGATCCTCAGAGCTACAGGTAACCAGAAGGACTGAGTGGGAGAAACGGTCTTCTCCTGATTGTGACCTTTCTTCTGCCTTTACCTGCTGCATCTCCAGAGAGTGCGCCGCATTGAGCTCCTCCTTCAGCTGCTGTAAGTCGTGGTCCTAGATGAAGCAAGGAAAAGATGTCAGAAACAACGTTGTTAGAGACGATAACTACAGTTTGACTTGATTAAATGCTGCCACCTGGTCACATAACCCTGGCAGATTAAAAGAGGACTGTTTTTGATTGAGTGTGAGTGCGCGTGTGTGTGAGTGTGAGTGTGAGAGTGCATGTGTGCGTGCCTGTGTGTGAGTGTGAGTGTGAGTGTGAGTGTGAGTGCGCCTGTGTGTGAGTGTGAGTGCGCCTGTGTGTGAGTGTGAGTGCGCCTGTGTGTGAGTGTGAGTGTGAGTGCGCCTGTGTGTGAGTGTGTGTGAGTGTGAGTGTGAGTGCCTGTGTGTGAGTGTGTGTGAGTGTGCCTGTGTGTGAGTGTGAGTGCCTGTGTGTGAGTGTGCCTGTGTGTGAGTGTGAGTGTGTGTGAGTGTGAGTGCCTGTGTGTGAGTGTGCCTGTGTGTGAGTGCCTGTGTGTGAGTGTGAGTGTGTGTGAGTGTGAGTGTGAGTGTGAGTGTGTGTGTGAGTGTGCCTGTGTGTGAGCGCGTCTGTGTGTGCTGGTTCAGGAGAGTGCCCAGAGCAGGCCTCACCCTCTCAGTGTGAGTGTGAGTGTGAGTGCTGGTTCAGGAGAG